GACATAGCAACATAATTAATCTAAGCTTTTTTTCCATAGTCTCAACATCTCATGAATAACATTTATTTAATTTAAATACATTATTTTGTCTACTATTACATTAAATGATTCCACCATTGTCTTTTATATGATATACTTAACACCTGTAGATCTTTAGAAGACATAGAGGCCAATCAGATTTTCAGCCATGCTTAAATTTAAAGATGTCAGCATGTGTGGAGGAGAGGAATAGTTCAGACTGTATTCCTTTTCTTAGAATGCACTAACTTACCTGTGTTCTTCTTGGTATAATGAAAATAAATCATTAGGTGCATGATTCAAAAAACACAATTTTGAAAATACATAAAATGACAAATTTTCATTCTGTTTATTCTGCCTTTTATTGGACATCATTAGTCCTCAATGTCACATACAAAAGATCCACATGTCTTCCATTTTGTAGAACTTGAATTTAAATGGCTCCAGGATTGCGTCTTTCTCCATATCATCAACCATGGATCTTACTGCTGCACAGCCTCCGCCAGTTCCTCTTCTCCCACTGTGATCACACTGGGCGACTCCACCTTGTCTGAAAACAAGTGCTGGTTTGTTTCAACCCACTCTGCTGCCTTTTTACATTCATAAATTACCCTGGCCCCAACTTTGTCCTATGGAGAAGACAGAAAAAAGGTAGTCTTCCTATAGCAAAACTGCTCTACAATCAGTGCCATAAACTCTATTATTCATGTAAAAATAACAGCACGTAGAAAGTCGCAAAGGGACACTTCAAAAGAAGCTTTTTGTCAGAATAACCTGAGTATAAAACAGATCAATATGCCGACACTTCCACTGACAAGCTGTGCAGTGTTCCACTTTATGCCATGTACTTGTTTGAATAATTGAGTGATGCATCTACATAACACAGAAAAAAAGTCATGTTAAGTTCATTTTATATATTTCATTTAGTAAAAGTATAAACCGAGTGAACAATAGCAAAACATTTCATGTTCATTTAGACAACAAATAATCTGAGCGTCGTAGTCAACCGCTAACCACCGTTAGCGTAACATTTGGTAATTTACATGCATAGAGTGGCTGGTAAAACGGAAAACATATGCAACCCGTGCATTCGTTTTTTGGGATATATAAATTGTCATTGTCACTTACTGTCCGATCCAGTTTTTCCGGCCAACCCAGCGCTCCACGAGTCAAGCAGTCCATTCCAGTGATCCGCTCCAGCTGTTACTATCAATCCACGAGGCCAGCACGCAGACGGCAGACACACACACGGAGGATAGGAGGAGTAGCTGTCAACTTAGTTAACTGACTATTTGTTTTCTGCTCTGGTGTTTTGAGAGTGATATTTTTATTTGGTTTACACTCTTACTGTTTAAGTAAAGAGCACTGATGGCATTGTTTTGGGCACAATTAGTGAAACTGGAGCCATGGATGGACTATTGCTTGTTTAAACAGTTGTACAATATTGTGTGTGGTTTTTTGTCCCCTCTGTTGGTCCCAGGAAACAGCAGCACCAGGCTGGCACTGACACTACTAAAATAACTGAAAAGGAAAGGCTGCATTGTTTGTTAAATGTCAACAATGTTTTGAGGTGTTAATCTATGTTTTATTTATTAGGGGAGTCTTGCTGCTATTTTAATTTCAATGTTAGACATTTTAAAGATTTCTTGTGTTGATTTATTTTCTATTTATTAAGGGGCCAAAGCAGCCAAAGCAAACCAGCTATATTTTTTATTTAATGTTAATGTTCAAGTTTAAAGTTTGTTTATTTAACCCTGTTAACAATAAACAGGTCAGTTTCTCATACCAACTGTTGTGGATCATTCTAACTAACCTGATTAAGTAGTTGTTCTTGTTAGAGTAATATCGCTTGATCAAACCTTTTCTAACATGACTGACAACAAAATAAGTTAATATGTATAATACGCACTTGGATCGGTATCGGTATCGGCCAAAACTCAAGGCTGTAATATCAGTATTGGATCGGAAGTGGAAAAAGCTGGATCGGGACATCCCTAGATGAAAATGCCGGAGTCGTTGCGGAGACGCACAAAAAGTTTGTTATTTCCGGGCCTGATGCTGGAGGCAGCCTGAGAGAGGAGCCTGCACCAGAAGTGGCCTTATGCTGGAGGTCAATGCGGCGTCTATGTATATATAGGCTCGCTGGAGATGAACTGCGCCTTGCCTGGAAAGTAGACGAGAGCAGGCGGCCGCAGCGGGGGGCGGTGACAAAAAGCTGCGGTGAAGTCGGACAGTTTCCCGACAGTTTCCAGCAGCCTTCAGTCCGTACAGGAAGTCACAGACACACTAACATCCTGTCTGGAATGATGTCAATTCATTAAAAAAGTGATCAGACCAATATATCAGTTTGTTCTCAGCCTCCAGTTGTTTTAATTATGATAGATTAATTTATTAAAATGCTTTACAGGTGATCTGTAGTTTATGTTCATGGTTCATGAACTCTGCTGTAAATCAGCATCATATCAGTTTGACCTGTCCCCTCAACTACACAGGCTGAATAAAGTGTGCTTAACTATAAGGTTCATACTATTTTCAGAGGGAAAAAAAACAGCTTTCATTAAAGTTCAGTCAGATCCAGTCAGGGCTTCACATCTGAACACGTTATTTTAAGAATCCTCACATCCCACTGACCACCAGTCTCTGTGCTGCTAAATACTTCAATAATTAAAACAGTCCAGTGTTAATACACAGTAGACTCTGTGTAGTTTATGATGAATGTATTCAGTCTGTGACAACTAAACTTCACCATCAGTCACACGTGTTTTCTGTTCACACAATAAACCTTCAAATCAGACAAATACAATCTTAATCTCTGAAATTCAACAAAAGTGAATCAAAAAGTTTATCTAAAACGTCATCTTGTTGAGTTGACGTCTAAACCAATCAGCTGTTAGATCAGGTGAGAGTCAGGCGGTACAGTCGGTGGAGAGCTGCTGCAGCGCCTGGCTCTAAAAACTGCGTTCGCCTCGCTCTCGCTGTTTTATCGCCATCCACTTTTGTAATACGTCAGAGCAAGTCGGGATGAAGTCGGACACAAAACTAACCGGCGTGCATTGTGCGCCGATCGCCGGTGATTGAATTTACACAGGCCTGGCTCATCTCCAACGAACCTTACGTCTGTGGACCAGAGTCTCAGGAGGGGCGCGTCTTTAGTCAGGTGAACCAAACAATCCATGATGGTTGAGTGCGAATGGACTGCTCAGCCCTTAGATAGAGAGTGTGCATCAGTGCAGGCTTCTGATGAGCCCAGCAGGAAGCGCAACATCACAATGGTGGAAACAACATATAAATGAAAGCGTTCCGTCTTTCTACTTTGTAAAATATTTTAGACCAAACACACACATTTGTTTTCCTCACACTGACTTCACAGTCTCAAACAAACTCACAGAATGTTTGGTGTCAAAAGATGAAAACCTACACGTCCATATACTTAAATAAACTATTTCAAACTGTATAAAAACTCCCTCATCCCATTCTCATGATTTTTAAAAAGAAACATAATCATGTGTTCACAGGGACAGAAGAAGAAACAAAGCAGTTAATCAATCTACGAATTAAAAATGAGTCTCTTCATTCTTGTTCCTCTTATCCTGTGAAACATGACAGCTTTGTCAGCAGCGCAAGCAAAGCGTCTGTCTGTATCCATGGTAACATCTGCTGCCTTCTTCCGGTAGAGTGGCGAGGGCGTCCCATGGTTTGGCTTCTCTTTTATACACTTCCCCTTAAAGGGATAGTGCACCCAAAAATGAAAATTCAGCCATTATCTACTAACCCATATGCCGAGGGAGGCTCAGGTGAAGTTTTAGAGTCCTCACATCACTTGCAGAGATCCAAGGGGAGAGGAGGTAGCAACACAACTCCACCTAATGGAGGCTGACGGCGCCCCAGATTCAAACGTCCAGAAACACATAATTGAAACCACAAAATATCTCCATACTGCTCGACCGTAGTGATCCAAGTGTGCTGCAGCCCCGACATAAAAAGTTGTTTGGAAAAACTTCATTTGAACTCTGTTTTTAGCCTTATTGTAGCCTGTAGCTCTGACTGCCTCTCTGTGCACCACGCTCACGTGTCGCTTGCGCGAGGTTGTGAGACATGGGCACTGCCTTCATGTGTGTTCACGTGCTTTTGCTGGTCTCGCACGCAAGCATGCACATGTGAACACGTGAACTGATTCATGTTTATTTCTGTTTGTTTATCTTGTCTTTACGTGAAGTCACAGCCCCCACACAGAAACATATTTGTATTATTATTAATATTGTTGTTATGATGTGATGTGATGACGTCAGTCTGAGGAGTATAAAATAAGGAACTTTATATAAAAACAAAACATCGTCGTACTGATCAATCAGTGTGATTGATACTCTGCTCTGACTGGCTGACGGTCGCTCTGTCATCACACTGATTATTGATTTTAATTCAGTCATTACTGATAACTAACATCAGTCAAACTAACTCAGTGCTTTTATTCTGAAGGTCTCGGGTCTGTTCAGTATTATTGACCCACTGACATCACACTTTATTGATCTGTGCACACAAATCAATTATTTATTTATTTACTGACTGATCAGATTATTGATGATCTGATTCATAGTATCTGTCAGGTGATTCACTGATGAATTACTGATGAATTTTATGTTGGCAGGTTTGGCTCATATTTTAGCTTATTGATCAGATATTGATGATCAGAAGAAAGCTGTTTTAAAAAAAAATCTTGTTTGTTTTATTTTATTTTATTTTTTTTTAATGAGGACTCTGTGAATCAGAAACTGTTCCATCGATCAGATATTGATCGAGCTTAGATGTTTTTGTTTCTTGTGAAGATAACCGCCCCCGAACAGAATCATCCAATTAGCCACACGGACGCTGCCAGGATCGTCCAATCACAGGCGACGCTCTGCCTCGTTTCATTTGACTGACAGGCTCTCCAGCCAACGGCAGCGCGCCTGCGCAGCTGGCAGTGTAGTGGGGGGCGGGGCGAAGCGCCGCTTTGGCAGCATAGCGGAAGAAAATGGCGGCCGTGGCTGCAGAGCCAGGAGCTGCGGCGGTTCCGACAACAACAATAACCGCGGCGACGAACGACGAGGGCCCGTCAGAACCGGGCCCGACCGGCCCGAGACTACCGGGAGCCCCACTGGAAATCGAGGGGCCGCCCGTGGAGCCGGTCGTCCACCGGGTGGAGGATGGTGGGGACGGGGAGGAGCGCCGCCATGACAGGCCGGAGCTGGAGCCCGCGGCGGGAACAGCGCTCTCTGATGACGCCGTTAACGATGAACGGATCGATACTTTCCCGGTGGACCTGATCAGCATGGACCGGTTCTCTCCCGGAGTACCGGCGGATCCAGAGGGCGGCGGGAACGTGTCGGTGCAGGCGGCGTACCGCAGCATCCTGGCGGAGCCCTCCGCCGTCTTCCTGCACTCCTTCCCGGCTCCCCCTCCCGTCACCGAGGCCGGACTGTCTCTAGCGGAACCGGCAGAACCGACCACCAACGTGACGACGGACCGGACCGAGACCGCGGGCCGAGACAGAGGCTACACGGCTCCGGCCCAACCGGAGCTGAGGTCCGGCCCGGCGGAGGACGGTACCGCTGACCGGCTGTCGGTCTCGGACGGCCTGGACCCGAAGCCGGGGTACGGGAAGAACTCAGCGGGGACCGAAGAGCTGCCGGGCGGCGGCCCGCGGGACTCCTCCCCGCCCTGCAGGTCCCCGAAGAGGCGTCTGGCGGCGGACGGTTCCGCCGGGGAAGACTCCTCTCGGCCGGAGCCCGGTGTCGGTGCTCCGCCGCTCGGCTCCGGGCCGGATCTGAGTCCTGGGTCCGAGGTCCGGGTCTCTCTGGACCACGTCATCGATGACGCGCTGGTGGTGTCCTTCCGGCGGGGTGAGAAGGTGTTCTCCGGGGTCCTGATGGATGTTTCAAAAAGGTAAAACTTTATCAATAACATGATCGATTAATGTAATCAGTTGTCAATAATATATTTAATAATGTGATCAGATATCAACAATATATTTAATAATGTGATTAGTTATCAATAATATCTTAAATAATGTGATCAGTTATCAATAATATCTTTAATAATGTGATCGGTTATCAATAATATATTTAATAATGTGATCAGATATCATTTCCTTTAATGATGTTATCAATTATCAATAATAGCATTGATTAATGTGATCAGTTATTAACAATATCATCGATTAATGTGATCAGTAATATAGGCCTGACAGGTGATGTTAATTAAGTATTGATCAATAACATGATCGATTAATGTAATCAGTTATCAATAATATATTTAATAATGTGATCAGATATCAACAGTATCTTTAATAATGTGATCAGTTATCAATAATATCTTTAATAATGTGATCAGGTATCAATAATATCTTTAATAATGTGATCAGGTATCAATAATACCTTAAGTAATGTGATCAGTTACCAATAATACCTTCAGTAATGTGATCAGTTATCAATAATACCTTTAATAATGTGATCAGATATCAATATCTTTAATAATGTGATCAGTTATCAATAATACCTTCAGTAATGTGATCAGTTATCAATAATATTTTTAATAATGTAATCAGATATCAATAATTCCTTCCACAAATTCCACATTACTATTTATCCCTGATTAATCAATGTTTTTTATAACATTATTATTGATCCCTAATTAAAGGGATAGTGCACCCAAAAGTGAAAATTCAGCCATTATCTACTCACCCATATGCCGATGGAGGCCCTGGTGAAGTTTTAGAGTCCTCACATCCCTTGCGGAGATCGGCGGGGGGAGTAGCTAGCACACCTAATGGTAGACGGCGCCCCAGACTAACGTCCAAGAACACAAAATTGAATCCACAAAATATCTCCATACTGCTCATCCATAGTGATCCAAGTGTGCTGCAGCCGCGACATAAAAAGTTGTTATGAAAAACGTCAATTGAACTCACTGTAGCCTGTAGCTCTGACTGCTTCTCTGTGCTCCGCGCTCACGTGTGCACGCCTGCGCGAGACCAGCGAAAGCATGAGCTTTGCTCACCTGTGTTTACATCACGTGACACGTGCACTGCAGGGGGAGACAACAGTAACCACAGTCGCTAAAAGATAATTTGCACTACGGTCTTTTAGCAAAGGACAGCCCAACATGTCTGAAGACTTTGAAACTGAGGAGGAACAGCATTTCTTTGTTGAGCCGTATTTGTCTGAGCCCGAGTATAACTCAGGCTACTGGACGAAGCAGCCACCGCAGCTCATGAGCCTCAGCCAGCTGCAGAATACCAGAGTCGAGCACTGGAAACCTGGTGGTGTAGTTGTTTCAAATGCAAAGCAATGCCAACGGATGAGGAAAGTCTTTGCTGCTCTGACTGAGAATTGACGATGCCTGCACTTGAGAATCTGGACATCAGTACTGACGAGACTGCTGCTCTTCAGAGACCGTGCATCACCGATCACCCTGAGCGCGCACACGTGAGCGCGGAGCACAGAGAAGCAGTCAGAGCTACAGGCTACAATGAGGCTAAAAACAGAGTTCATATGACGTTTTTCAAAACAACTTTATATGTCGAGGCTAAAAAACACTTGGATCACTACGGATGAGCAGTATGGAGATATTTTGTGGATTCAATTTTGTGTTCTTGGACGTTAGTCTGGGGCGCTGTCTGCCATTAGGTGTGCTAGCTACTCCCCCCGCCGATCTCCGCAAGGGATGTGAGGACTCTAAAACTTCACCAGGGCCTCCATTGGCATATGGGTGAGTAGACAATGGCTGAATTTTCATTTTTGGGTGCACTATCCCTTTAATGAATCTTTTTATTATTATTGATCCTTAATTAATTAATCTTTTTTATAACATTACTATTGATCCCAATTAACAAATCTTTTATATAACATTACTATTGATCCCTGATTAATTAATCTTTTTTATAACATTATTATTGATCCCTATTTATTGAATCTTTTTTATAACAATATTTTTGATCCCTGATTAATGAATGTATTGGTCAAACAGTAGCAGCAGGATGTCTTTTTCTATTTACAGCAATTTTTCCTCATCACAGTGACAACAGTCAGTACAACAATTCAGTTCATACACCAGAGCACACAATAATAAACAGTCAATGCTAATCAATATAACTCAGAGACAGCATGTTATTGATCAGTGTGATCGTTCAGAGACAGAAGCAGTTTTGTTCAAACTGGACTGAAACATTAATCTGAATATTTGTGAGGAATTTTTTTTTTCACACCAACAGATGTTTGTTTGTGTTTACTCTGACGAATGTTAAGACTCCGCCATGCTGTCGTTGATTCATCGTTGTTTTACTGTGATGAACCCACACTGAGGTCTACACACCGTAGATGGCGGCATTATTCCACGTGTGTGTTAATGTGGATAAAAGTCATGATGTGGGCACACTTCCTTTGGACGGAGCCTCATCACTGAGTGTGATGTGTTTGTTAATATGGAGCTTAAAGCTCACTTAGTGTTTCCTGTGGAACACGCCGCAGTGGACGAGGAGTGACGTTGAAATAAGAAGTAAACAATTTGTCTCCTCGTTTCACTGCAGAAACTAAACAAGGCATTGTCTGAGCGGGGGAGACGAGCAGCGAATGTTTCACTAATCGCTTTGTTGTACATTACCTCCAGTAAAGAACCTAGGAAGACAACAGAAGTGGTGACGTCTCTTGTCTGATGTGGTGCACGCAGCTGAGAGCGGCGTCCTTTGTTTACATGATGAAACAGAAGTGCAAAAACGCCACAATAATAATAATATAAATAACCAGTGCCAATTCATCAGTCAATAAAAATGTGTGTGTGAGTGGGGCATAAGCACATATGAGCAGCAGCAGTGACCCACCGTCCAACACTGGCACACCGTGAGGACGGAAACAGAGGGCACGGTTAAAACCAGCCGCCGGCCATTTGAACAGCTGAGTGTCAGGTGACACCATCAACTGACTTGAGTCGAGCTCAGACAGGCCACGTCACACTGCTGACACTTTTCTCTGTAACGTTCTGAAGTGGTTTTGTCTCGTCACCAATCTTTGGTCTGAACTGGACTTTATGTGTCACATATTACCTGTTACTAAACATCAGAATCCATATTGTTTTATGACGTCAGAGAAAATCAACAAACAAAAACAAAACTAAACGACACACACACAGAAACAGGGCATTCAGTTTCAAAAGACTTCTTTAAACGCATCAACAAGAAATTATTTTAACAGGATGTTTTTAGTCACAAGAATGATCATCAAATGTGTTTGTTTGCAGGCGTCTTTGAAACATTTGGAAAAAAAAGTTCAGAGTCTTTGAAACTGAGTTCAGACGAGACTTTGTGAGTTCAAACTAGACTTTGTGAGTTCAGACGAGACTTTGAGGGTTCAGACGAGATTTTTTGAGTTCAGACGAGACTTTTTGAGTTCAGACTAGACTTTGAGTTCAGACGAGACTTGGAGTTCAGACGAGACTTGGAGTTCAGACAAAACTTAAGTGTTCAGACGAGACTTTGTGTTCAGACGAGAATTTGAGTTCAGACGAGACTTTGAGAGTTCAGACGAGACTTTTTGAGTTCAGACGAGACTTTGAGGGTTCAGACGAGACTTTTTGAGTTCAGACGAGACTTTTTGAGTTCAGACGAGACTTTTTGAGTTCAGATGAGACTTTAGTGTTCAGACGAGACTTTGAGGGTTCAGACGAGACTTTAGTGTTCAGACGAGACTTTGTGGGTTCAGACGAGACTTTGTGAGTTCAGACTAGACTTTGAGGGTTCACATGAGACTTTGAGTTCAGCAAGACCTTGAGAGTTCAGACGAGACTTTGAGTTTTCAGGTGAGATCTGAGGTTGTTACGGCGAGTATTGAGACTCTAAGGTTTTCATCCTCTCTCTGTGTTCAGGTTTGGACCGTATGGTATCCCCATCACGGTGTTTCCCAGACGGGACGACGGGAGTCGACCACAGATGTCTGTGCAGCCGCCCCCCTTGAAAAACGCTGACCCATCCACCAAACAGGAAGAGGTCATCGTTAGCCCCACGTCCCCGTCTTCTCCCCATCCTCTCTCCTGGACCTCCAAACTGCCACCACTGTTCCAGGAGGGGGCGCCGTACCCCCCTCCTCTCTTCATCAGGGACACCTACAACCAGGCCTTACCTCAGCCACTGCCACGCAAGATCAAACGGCCAAAGCGGCGCTACCGCTGCGAGGAGCCAACCTCCATCATGAATGCCATCAAGCTCCGCCCCCGCCAGGTGCTGTGCGACAAATGCAAAAGTGTGGTGGCATCAGGTGGGCACAGGGATTCAAGGCGGGGCACAGTGGATCTGAGGAGTGAGGAGGTATCACGGCGGCGGCGAACAGCCGAGGGGCCAATCTCCTCGGAGGTCAAACGGCTTAGAAGTGATGACAAGGGAGGGCGCACTGCTGCTGACAGACGCTCATCATCAGGGATACGTGTGTCATCTTCATCATCATCTTCCTCTCGCCGTGTCCTGAGGGGCGTGGCTTCATCTTCACCTTCGTCATCCTCGTCCAGTCGCATGTGTCTGAATCTGAACTCTAAGAAGGTTCTGGCCAAAGGTTCCACTGGCGATCGGTCCAAAACACGGCAGGTTCTCAAGAAGCTGGCGAGGAGCTCCCAGCCACCACCACCACACCGTCGGCCCAAAGATCAGAACCAGAACCAGGGTCAAAACCAGGAACGCACCAAGGCCATGACCCGAGCCGCTGCCCTGCAGAACCACAACCAGAAGGTGCACTTCACTCGCCGCCTGCAGCACCTCAGCGGCAACGCCATCAGCTCGAGTCCTCACACGGTGCTTCCGCCCAGAATGCGCCTCAAACCCCAAAGGTATCGTACCGACGACAGCCAGGCACCCTCCTCCTCCTCATCCCCGCCCAAACAGAGTGCTCGCTTATCGCCTCCCAAACCATTGTTAAGCCCTGCCCCAACAGTGAACTCAGCCCCGCCCGTAGAGCCACCCCCTCCCTCGACCACATCTCCTCCTCCGACTCCCCCCTCCTGTGCAGCCAGTGTTGCCATGGACATGCAGGAGGTCAGCCCTTCTGGGGAGGAGGGGGCGGAGCAGGGACAGGGAAGAGATGATGTGCAGGTAGTGGAGGCTCCTCCCCCCTGCTCCTCCTCCTCAGACTCCTCCCACTCAGAATGCAGTTTCACAGAGACCTTTGACCTCCCCCCTCCAGGAGACCCACCTTCCTCCTCTCCCTCCGCTCCCGCCCCCCCTACCTCCTCCTCGTTAGGGCCTCTGTGTCCCTCCTCTTCTTCTCCTACCGCCCCTCCCCCCAGAGCTGATGGCGAGGAGACGCAGGCCGGCGGCGGAGAGGAGGAGGAAGGTGAACTGAAGAGGCGTCGTAAGTCCTCCACATCCTCCTCCTCCTCCTCATCTTCGTCGTCCTCCTCCGTCTTCTCCAAGTTGGTGTCCAAATGTTCGCTCCCTGATGGTCGGATGGTGTGCGTTGGCGACATCGTCTGGGCAAAGATCTACGGCTTCCCCTGGTGGCCGGCGCGCGTGCTCGGCATAACGGTGTCACGGCGCGGCGACACAGGGCTGGCGGTGCGGCAGGAGGCGCGTGTCTCCTGGTTTGGCTCCCCCACTACCTCCTTCCTGCCGCTCACTCAGCTGTCGCCCTTCCTGGAGACCTTCCAGTCACGCTTTGACAGGAAGAGGAAGGGGCCGTACCGTCGTGCCATTGCCGAGGCCGCCAGCGCAGCGAAACAGCTGACACCTGAAGTCCGGGCGCTGCTCACACAGTTTGAGACGTAGCATCAGCTACTGCTGCCAACACCTCCCTTCCTGCCCCGCCTATATAAGGAGGTGGGAGGAGCCTTCCCCCCTCTCCTCAGACTGATACCTGTCTGTCTGTCTGAGACGGACGCAAACAGATGGACGGTCCTCACGTTTCTGTTTCCTGTTCTGGTCTTCCCTTTTGGAGAGGAGGGGGCGGGGCCTCTGAATTACCTGTCTGCATGGGCGGGGCTTACCTCTGTGGTCACCTCCCCAGGTCTTCACAGAGGTCCTCAGTTTCAGGCAGGTGTCAGTCAGCAGCAGCGTTTCCCCTCTCCTCGCCTTCACAGCGCTGTCTGTTTGCTAACTAACCTGATGATGTCATGGTGATGTCATCAGTCTGTTTGCCAGGCACAGAGGCTCTATGAAAGACACTGTCCAGTTGCATTATGGGTAATGTAGGAAGCAGGATATCTGTTAAAAGGAAATCCTAAATGTCCAGTGTGATTGGCTGAAAGCATCATCAGGATGATGTCACACATTTACATCATCAAAGATGAACCTATAATTTCAAAGTAAACACTAATTAAGATCCAGATGGTGAAGCTAAGCTAACATTGGCTAAGCTAACAGTGGTCACATCCAGCTGCAGTGATTGATCGATGAGTTCTGATTGGTTTCTGTTAATTATGTTTGTCTGCTGGTGGCGAGGTGAAACGCTGTGACGCTCTGACATGTCACTTCCTTTTGTGCTGGTTGTCATGGTTTCTGCGGGTTCTGCTGAGGGACATCCACAGACTGAAAGTAAAAAACTGTGAAACACAAAGTGTTGTTCTAACTGAGGCCCGGGGTCCAGATCAGGGTCCAGAGCTGAGTCAGAGCCTGATCATGTGACCAGCTCCGTCTGTTCTGATTGGTACAAACACAGCAACTATTACAGCTTCTGTAATCATGGGTCCCCGTAATCCTGTGCTGATGATGTCATCAGTGTGTGACCCAGCTGTTGATGTCTGATTGATCAGACTGATCAGTGATCAGACGTATTGATCGCTGTGTGTTTGATCCCAGGGCCTCAGTGGATCACCATTAGACTGACAGACGGACAGGTAGGACAGGTAGGACACACTGACTGTTGGACAGGACGGCTGCTCTGCTCTCTGACGATGATGACGATGATGATGATGCTGATGACGAAGGTGGATTTTCCCTCTGTGCTGTGGGACTCCGTTTCCCGTCTGTTTGCAGATCAGAGATCGTGAGCTGAACTCACCTGAGTCTCACCTGTGTCTGTTTTTTTTCTCTCATGTTTTAAATTCTATTAAAAAACTGTCAAACTTTGAATCTTTGAATCGTCGTCATTCTTCTTCTGTGGTGCTGTTACTTGAGCGGTCACGCCGGTGCCCAGCTCAGCGGCGCTCCTGCGGCAGAACTCACTCAGATTTTCTCACCTGCAAACAGATGTTTGGTAAACGGGTCACCAGAGCTGTTTTTACCTGGAGTGTCAGCAGTGATCAATAATTATAATAATCAATAACCAGATTACATCATCAGACCTGTTCAAAAGTCCACTGAGATTTAATTTAACGAACCAGTGGCTTCAATGAGATTGAAACAGTAATCAGATTACATTAAACATGTGACTCAGACTTCAGGTAAAAACAACTCTGTAACCAGAGTGGGAAAATATCAGCTGGGCACAGAGTAGTAACTGAAATAATACAGCAGGTACAGAGTAACAACTGAAATAATACAGCAGGTACAGAGTAATTACTGAAATAATAGAGCAGATACAGAGTAATTACTGAAATAATACAGCAGAGAACAGAGTAATTTATGGAGAATACATAATCAGGTTTAAGAAGGCCTACTGCATTAGGTGAAGTATTATATGTACTCAGGTACCGGCTAAATACTGAATCATCTATTTGATCAGGTTCAGACTATATCCTGAAAGAAGGTGCTGGGTAAATCCTGGGAGGGTGTAATGAGCCTCAGAGGTCAAAGGTCATGGTCCATTCTTAGGCTGCGGTCGGAAAGAGAAATGACCCGGAAGTATTTCAGTGGCCACCATGATAAGAGCCGTTTGAATTCTCTAAACACTAAGGAAAGGAGGTTCAGTGCTTCCTTTCAGATCTCCTTTAGCATAGGATACATCGGACCTTCCTAAGCGATAGGAAAGGAGATAATTCCATCCCACAAGTCATTGCAGCGGCAATATTTACGCACCATTCACAAACTCAAATGATTAGGAAAGAAAAAGACCAACATGACCGAGAAAGGAAGGAGATCACCATCTAAGTTACCACTGTTTATGAAGCATTATACATCTCATGCCACAACTTGTTCATATACAGTACAGGCCAAAAGTTTGGACACACCTTCTCATTCAATGTGTTTTCTTTATTTTCATGACTATTTACATTGTAGATTCTCACTGAAGGCATCAAAACTATGAATGAACACATGTGGAGTTATGTACTTAACAAAAAAAGGTGAAATAACTGAAAACATGTTTTATATTCTAGTTTCTTCAAAATAGCCACCCTTTGCTCTGATTACTGCTTTGCACACTCTTGGCATTCTCTCCATGAGCTTCAAGAGGTAGTCACCTGAAATGGTTTCCACTTCACAGGTGTGCCTTATCAGGGTTAATTAGTGGAATTTCTTGCTTTATCAATGGGGTTGGGACCATCAGTTGTGTTGTGCAGAAGTCAGGTTAATACACAGCCGACAGCCCTATTGGACAACTGTTAAAATTCATATTATGGCAAGAACCAATCAGCTAACTAAAGAGTGGCCATCATTACTTTAAGAAATGAAGGTCAGTCAGTCCGGAAAATTGCAAAAACTTTAAATGTGTCCCCAAGTGGAGTCGCAAAAACCATCAAGCGCTACAACGAAACTGGCACACATGAAGACCGACCCAGGAAAGGAAGAACAAGAGTCACCTCTGCTTCTGAGGATAAGTTCATCCGAGTCACCAGCCTCAGAAATGGCAAGTTAACAGCAGCTCAGATCAGAGACCAGATGAATGCCACACAGAGTTCTAGCAGCAGACCCATCTCTAGAACAACTGTTAAGAGGAGACTGCGCCAATCAGGCCTTCATGGTCAAATAGCTGCTAGGAAACCACTGCTAAGGAGAGGCAACAAGCAGAAGAGATTTGTTTGGGCCAAGAAACACAAGGAATGGACATTAGACCAGTAGAAATCTGTGCTTTGGTCTGATGAGTCCAAATTTGAGATCTTTGGTTCCAACCGCCGTGTCTTTGTGAGACGCAGAAAAGGTGAACGGATGGATTCCACATGCCTGGTTCCCACTGTGAAGCATGGAGGAGGAGGTGTGATGGTGTGGGGGTGTTTTGCTGGTGACACTGTTGGGGATTTATTCAAAATTGAAGGCACACTGAACCAGCATGGCTACCATAGCATCCTGCAGCGACATGCCATCCCATCCGGTTTGCGTTTAGTTGGACGATCATTTATTTTTCAACAGGACAATGACCCCAAACACACCTCCAGGCTGTGTAAGGGCTTTTTGACCAAGAAGGAGAGTGATGGAGTGCTGCGGCAGATGACCTGGCCTCCACAGTCACCGGACCTGAACCCAATCGAGATGGTTTGGGGTGAGCTGGACCGCAGAGTGAAGGCAAAGGGGCCAACAAGTGCTAAACACCTCTGGGAACTCCTTCAAGACTGTTGGAAAACCATTTCAGGTGACTACCTCTTGAAGCTCATGGAGAGAATGCCAAGAGTGTGCAAAGCAGTAATCAGAGCAAAGGGTGGCTATTTTGAAGAAACTAGAATATAAAACATGTTTTCAGTTATTTCACCTTTTTTTGTTAAGTACATAACTCCACATGTGTTCATTCATAGTTTTGATGCCTTCAGTGAGAATCTACAATGTAAATAGTCATGAAAATAAAGAAAACACATTGAATGAGAAGGTGTGTCCAAACTTATGGCCTGTACTGTATATTTTTTCAACTTTCAACATTATGTTAAACTTAGATGCGAACTATGAATGTTTCAGTACTATTAGTGTACCCTCCGTCCACAGCTTTGTTTAACTTGTTTTATAACAGGATAAACAAATATACAATGCATCATTTTAATTTTCCGATTTTCATGTGAATGAGAAAAAACGGAAATCCACATGCTTTTCCCGTTTTCGTCTTCAAATGGCTAATTGATATAGAAATTAAACCAAAACCAGAATCCTACTTGTTTTTCGCCTTTATTGTTATATCTATGTTATCTGCCCCTACTGCATCTCAACACATTGGCATCGGCTATGCTTATGGCCTAGGTAGATAGGTAGATGGATGGATGGATGGACGGACGGACGGACAGACGGACAGTTAGATGGATAGATAGATAGATAGATAGATAGATAGATAGATAGATAGATAGATGATGGATGGATAGATAGATAGATAGATAGATGGATAGATGAATGGATGGATAGATAGACAGATAGATAGATAGATAGATAGATAGATAGATGATGGATAGATAGATAAATAGATAGATGGATAGATGAATGGATGGATAGATGGATGGATAGATAGATAGACAGATAGATAGATAGATAGATAGATAGATAGATAGATAGATAGATAGATAGATAGATTCAGGAGTATTATCTAGACCTGCTCTATGTGTAAAGTGCCCTGAGATGACTTTTGTTGTGATTTGGCACTATATAAATAAAATTGAATCTAAAAAAATAGATAATCAATGAAGTACTGTTGCTGTGCCTCGTAAATGCGTAAATGCGCTTATACTTGGCGTATCTGGAGATTTAAATAATCAATGAAGTTACTGCTTCCCACTTTGTATTCCCCTGTACAGTGTTTCCCTGCAGAGCTACAGTGGAAGGATCATAACCCCCCACACCCCACCCCCCACCCCGCAGCAGAAACAATAAGCGCCTTTCCCCATAAAGAGAGACGCTGTGCGCATTTACGCACGAGGCACAGCAGCGTCCCTTTTATTATTATTATTATTATTATTATTTATTATTTATCTGTCTATCTATGCAGTAGGGGCACATAATATTGATTTAACAATAAAGGCCAAACACAAGTTGGTTACTGGTTGTGGTCTCATTTCGCCTCCAACTGCCCATTTGAAGAAGAAAATGGAAAAAGCACGTGGATTTCCATTCTTTTTTTTATTCACACGGAAAAACAAAATAATGCATTTAATATTTGTTTATCCTGTTATAAAACTAACAAGTTGAACACAGCTGTGGGAGGAGGGAACAGGCACCGTAACATATGCTCAGTTTGCATCAGTCATTTATTCATTTGAGCGTTGTTGTATTGCCAGCCTTTAGTAATATCATTAATTAATTTCACTACTTGGGATTCAGACGGGTGAGTGTGAGCAAACATTCTCAATGTGACAATTTCATTTCAGTTTGTGGCTGGCAGCCTATATTCCTTTTTTTAATTCAATTCCGACCTTAGTAATTAAACAATATCTTTCACCGTGTTGTCCACATTTATATAACCTGCATGAATCAACATGATGAGAACGTACGCCCCATATGTTCTCATCGTGTGCATTTTGTAGTCCATCTTCAGAACATTGTAGTTTCACCACAGCAGACCCACGTCAATAACATCCGCCGTTGCATGATGACGTAGACCAGCATAAGTGCGGTCAGATTTTCTCAGCTCCGCGGTTCTCTTTTCCTAAGTCCTTATGAATTCTCCTACTCATCTTTCCTTGGCCTCGTGACGTTTCCCGCCGAGGTCAAGGAATAGTGATTAGGAATAGACGATAGGAGGGACTTTCTGACCGCAGCCCAAGTTTCATGTTATCAGCCATGTTAAGGTCAGGTAAACAGGAAGTGGAGTTGAAGGTGAGTTTCATGTGTTCATTCAGGTGAATTCATCCTCAGTAAAAACATGAAACACAAATATAAATATAAATAAGTATCAGACGTTTGTTTTTGAGACGACGACATGCTGAATCCTCTGAGTTATAATTCAATCAGAAATCAACGTCATCAACAACAGAAATCAGTTCATATGAACACAGCAGATGATTAATGATCAGTTAATATTGATCCGCTGATTACTGATCCTTTCATCACTGATGACGTGCAGAGCAGTGCATTATGGGATTGATATAAATGAGCAATGAGTCAGGTTCATGAACGCAGCTCAGCAACGTTCAGCACACAGAGGACCTTGAATGCATTGAGACCAAACCTAGAACAAACAGATAAATAACAATGACGTCACAGTGCTGGACAGGAAATAAAATAAAATAACAAAATAAAATAGATTAACAAAATTAAAAAAAATAAGAAAAATATAATAAAATGAAAAAATAAATAAAACAAAAATCAAATACATAAAACAAAATAAAATAATATCAAATAAATAAAATAAAGTAATAAAATGAAAAAAAAAATAACATTAAATTAAATGAAAGTTCACTGAGAGAAATAAATATGTGATTTAACAGAAGACAAACGGAGACGTCTTGGTCTTTGATTTAAACACCTGAGTCTCACCTGTCCTGAGACGTCTGGAGACACTGTGTCTCCATGTTGAGTCTTGTCTCTGAAGACACTGAGCAGACGTGTCCCTGAGGACATGAGACGTCTGGACGGGTCAGACTGAAAGTCAGAAACCGTTCAGAGTTTTATTCTGAAAGGAACTCTGACAGACAGGAAGTCAGTGAGGAAGTCAGTGAGGACTCAGTGGTCTCATGATAAAGACATTCGTCGAGTCTCCTAAAGATACACCAAGGGACAAGTTTGTCTAGGTCCTCGTGAGACATCAGTCCTTTTGTCCCTGACGTGTTCTGAAGGAGACAGCAGGTGGACTTCAGAGTACATGTCTGTCCTCGTCTGTGTGTCTCTGTCTGTCTGTCTGTCTGTCTCTTTCTCTGTCTCTGTCTGTCTGTCTGTCTGTCTCTTTCTGTCTTTGTCTGTCTGTCTGTCTCTTTCTCTGTCTCTGTCTGTTTGTCTCTTTCTCTCTGTCTGTCTCTGTAGTCCAACAGCTACAGACAGGAAGTGACTTCAGACACAGCTGTCCTCTGTCTGATGATGTCATCAGTGACACTTGTCTCTCTGTCTCTGTCTCTGCAGTGCGACTCTGAAGAGCTGCTGACGCTGAGATTCCTGTGCTGTGATTGGATGAGAGGTGTCAGCTGATTGATCACACGGACATGAACAATTATTTAAATGAAGAGTTTATATTTATAAAATGATGACTTCATCTTTTCTACTGCTTCGTCCAATCAGCAGTCGCGATGACCTGCAGGAGGCAGCGCCCGCTGCACCTGAACACACCGTCCACACACCTGTCAGGTGACCTATTAGCCTAGCTTAGCACAAAAACTTGCAGCAGAGGGAAACTGTGTGATTGACAGGTGGTTTATTGACTATTGATCAGGTGTAGAAATAGAGATGTTGTGATTCCGTCCCTTTTTACCTTTTAGTTTCTACACCTGATCAGAACCAGTCTGAACCAGTTTAAACTGGTCATCTAGAGGTTGTTTAGAGGTTTGACTCGTCACAGATTTTTTTCCTCTGATGTGAAGCTGAAACGTCAGACGACAGAAAAGTGATCTTTATTGTTAAACTGTGTAAAACATGATAAATGCAATAAAAACACGCATGTTTGAACCTGTTTGTTTGTTTGTTCATCATTTAAACATTTAAATTCAACATTTACAGGAAAGTTTGTTTTTTTATCGTGTTTCACAGGTTCACGCTCTGAGACTGATTTTATTTTATTCAAACTCTGAGCCAAGGTCGTTACTACACCTGACACAGGTGAGTCTGATTCAACAGGTGAGTCTGATCCAACAGCACCATCACTCCACAGTCTGATGTTGTTGGATCAGACTCACCTGTCTCAGGTGGGCGACCTTGACTCACAGACCCATAGCGTTAGTTGAAGTTTAAACTTTCAGATTTAGCATCAACATGAACCAGGTAAATTTACAGGATTTAATGAATCAGTTAAGAACACAACAGGTGGAGGTGTACAGGAAAGAAATGGCGCCCCCTCTTCCTGTGGGGAATTCCAGCCTGTGACATCACTGAGTTGGTGTGCTGAGTTGAGCAGGTTTGTCAGACAGATGGAGGGTGGAGCTCAGCTGAGGGGAGTGGACTCTGTGTCAGACAGGTGAGCGTACAATAAGACCTAGTCCACACAGACCCATGTAAAACCCTGTATTATTCTATGCAATTTGGCTGTTTGGCCACACGCAACCGCACTTCTGGGCCCCTGAAACCGTGTTTCTTTGAAACCAGAGTCCAGGGTGAAGTTTTTGGAAGACTCCTGTCTCTGTCTCCCTGTGTATCTCTGTGTGTATGTGTGTCTCTGTGTCAGTGTGTCTCTGTGTGTCTGTGTGTGTGTGTCTCTGTGTCAGTGTGTCTCTGTGTGTCTGTGTGTGTGTGTGTCTCTGTGTGTGTCTTTGCGTGTCTCTGTGTGTGTCTTTGTGTGTCTCTGTGTGTTATTGTGTGTCTCTGTGTGTTACTGTGTGTTATTGTGTGTCTCTGTGTGTTACTGTGTCAATGGGTCTCTGTGTGTCTCTGTGTGTCTCTGTGTGTAGTTTATAATCAAAGTCCAAATAGTCGTTTGGACTTTGTCCCACTGTCTCTCTCACTCTCTGCAGTATCTTGTGGTCGATCGATCAGGAAGTCAAATGGCTGAAATGGACGACGCGTCTCAGGTAAGCACATGTCCTTCATGTTGCTCTGTAGGACAGGTGGTCATACAGGTGGACATGTGGACAAACAGGTGGAGAAGTGGACAAACGGGTGGACAGGTGATTTACAGGTGGACGGGTGATTAACAGGTGGACAGGTGATAAACAGGTGGACAGGTGATTAACAGGTGGACAGGTGATTAACAGGTGATAAACAGGTGGACAGGTGGACAAACAGGTGGACAGGTGATTAGCAGGTGGACAAACAGGTGGACAGGTGATAAACAGGTGGACAAACAGGTGGACAGGTGATTTACAGGTGGACAAACAGGTGGACGGGTGATTGACAGGTGGACAAACAGGTGATAAACAGGTGGACAAACAGGTGGACAGGTGATTAACAGGTGGACAGGTGAATATAAGGTGGACAACCAGGTGGACAGGTGATAAACAGGTGGACAGGTGGACAAACAGGTGGACAGGTGATTAAGAGGTGGACAAACAGGTGGACAGGTGGATAAACAGGTGGACAGGTGATTAAGAGGTGGAAAAACAGGTGGACAGGTGATAAACAGGTGGACAGGTGATTAGCAGGTGGACAAACAGGTGGACAGGTGATTAACAGGTGGACAGGTCTGGTTCAGAGTTTGAATGCTTTTGCCACTCTTAGAATATGTCTCTGCGCATCGGGGTTCTATTTCCCTGTCGGGAGTTGTTTTCCCAGCATTCACCGGCTCATTATACATTATCCCGCTTATTACACGGCTAATTATCAGTTAAATAATGTTGTCTGCCTCCGCGAAGTGCATTAAAACCGACCGGATTCGACAACTTTTGGTTAAAGTTTTGTACTCACCCAGGCTTAGTGGACTGAACCGAGGCATAAAACTCGCGTAAAATGTCATTAAGCATGACTGCCGAGTGTGTATTCAAATCCGCGTTCTTTTGTTTTTGGCAGAGAAAGTCCGTATTCTTATTCTTCAGTGGCATCCCATTCCTCAAAATCCTTGTAGCTACTCTCCAAATAAGTTAAAAGAAATGTTAAAATCAGCAATTGCTGTTTGTTTTTTCCCTCGGAAGTTGTTTGACAGCTGCAGTGTTGCAGGACATCCCTAGCAACGCTGGGCTACATAGCAACTGTCTAATGACCGTTGCTAGTAGCAACGGTCATTACACAGTAATATCAGACCGCTGAATGCCGCGACTGACCAATCAGAATACAGCATTTAATAGAGCCATGTAATAACATGTTATAATTACCAGTATTAACAGGTATGTCTGTCTGTCTGTCAAATCAGAGTCAAGATCACCTGGCAGAGGGGCGGGGCCATAAGGCAGTCGAGGTTAACCTGCCAATGGAAGATAACAGAAATAAGAAGCTGCAAATAAGAGCACAGGTGGTGGGGTCAGATATGATTTACACCATTGAAGACGTCCCACCCTGGTACCTGTGTATTCTACTGGGACTGCAGGTACCACTAGGAGTACTGGGAGCACTGGGAGTACTGGGAGTACACAGGATAGGATAGACTGGGTTTACATTGGTTTGATTCAATTTAGACCGAGGTCAGCATGGGTTCAAACTGGTATTACTGGGTTCAGACTAGGACTAAACTGAACTGTGGGTAGTTTAGGTGTGGACAGGCGTGGACAGGTGTGATTGTGTCTTCCTGTTTGGACTCTGGATTGGAGGACGATCATGAACCGATTTAAACTGGTCTGTTTGTGTCAGTTCAGCCAAGTTTTTTTTTTTCCAGTTTGACCATCAGAATCAAATGACACATGTGTTTGTCCAATTAGGTGAGGGACAGGCTGATGTCACCTGTTCTTTTCTGTCCTCAGCATTACTTGACGTGTTTCAGCGGCACGGTGGCGGTGCCATTTCTTCTGGCCGAGGCCATGTGTGTTGGTCGAGACCAGAACACCATCAGTCAGCTGATTGGAACCATTTTCACCACCGTGGGAATCACAACCCTGATCCAGACCACCGTGGGAGTCAGGTGAGACTGACAGAGACAGGTGAGAGTGACAGGGACAGGTGAGAGTGATGGAGACAGGTGAGACCGACGGAGACAGGTGAGACCGACAGAGACAGGTGAGACTGACGGAGTCGGGTGAGAGTGATGAAGACAGGTGAGACTGATGGAAACAGGTGAGACTGACAGAGACAGGTGAGACTGACTGAGTCGGGGGAGACTGACAGAGACAGATGAGACCGACAGGGACAGGTGAGAGTGATGGAGACAGGTGAGACTGACGGAGTTTGGTTAGAGTGACAGAGACAGGTGAGACTGATGGAGTTGGGTTAGAGTGACAGAGACAGGTGAGAGTAATGGAGACAGGTGAGACTGACAGAGTCGGGTGAGAGTGACAGAGACAGGTGAGAGTGATGGAGACAGCTGAGACTGACGGAGTCGGGGTAGAGTGACAGAGACAGATGAGACCAACAGAGACAGGTGAGACTGACGGAGACAGGTGAGAGTGATGAAGACAGGTGAGACTGACGGACACAGATGAGACCGACAGAGACAGGTGAGACTGATGGAGACAGGTGAGAGTGATGGAGACAGATGAGAGTGATGGAGACAGGTGAGACTGATGGAGTTGGGTGAGAGTGACAGAGACAGGTGAGTCTGACAGAGACAGGTGAGAGTGACAGACAGGTGAGAGTAACAGAGACAGGTGAGAGTGACAGAGACGGGTGAGACTGACGGAGACAGATGAGACCAACAGAGACAGGTGAGACTGATGGAGAGAGGTGAGAGTGATGGAGACAGGTGAGACTGACGGAGTCAGGTGAGAGTGACAGAGACAGGTGAGACTGACGGAGTTGGGTGAGAGTGACAGAGACAGGTGAGACTGACGGAGTTGGGTGAGAGTGACAGAGACAGGTGAGAGTGATGGAGACAGGTGAGACCGACAGAGACAGGTGAGACTGATGGAGAGAGGTGACAGTGATGGAGACAGGTGAGAGTGATGGAGACAGGTGAGAGTGACAGAGACAGGTGAGAATGATGTGTGTCTCTGTGTTTGTAGACTTCCTCTCTTCCAGGCCAGTGCATTTGCATTCCTGATTCCCGCTCAGGCGATTCTGAGTCTGGACCGATGGACGTGTCCCACAGAGGGTGAGGCAATCTCTGTCCGCCCACAGGATCATTTCAATACATCGATCAATACGTAGATTAATGCCTTGATCAAACCGCAGCATGATAATATCAATAACAATCATTTAGGTAATTTGTTGTTTGTTTTTTGTTTCCTGTGCAGAGGAGATTTATGGGAACTGGAGTCTTCCTCTGAACACGTCACATGTCTGGCAGCCACGGATCAGAGAGGTATTATTGATTATTAATGATACAGAGGATCTGATTGGCCCAGGTGACACCTGGGGCAGCAGACAGGTGCGCTCTTCTCCCTCTGTGGGAGGAGCTTCTGGATGTTTACCGCTATTAAGAATGATGTGATCAGCAATCAATCAATCAATCAATTTTATTTATAAAGCCCAATATCACAAATCACAATTTGCCTCACAGGGCTTTACAGCATACGACACCCCTCTGTCCTTATGACCCTCACAGCGGATAATCATCATTAACCCTCAGCAGACTGAGGAGGTTTCAGTTACTGTGATCAGTTTAACACTCTGTAATGTTGTTGGACAGTTTTAAACACACGTGTCAGTATTGTCAGAGTCATGTGACTTTTAGAGAGAATATATTTCTGGATCATATTTAAGAGTAAGTGGAGTAATGGAGTAAAGACAACAGCTGTTCTAAATGATCATTAACAATATGAACAAACAATGTCATCTTATCATAAAAGTAGGTTATTAGATTATTCATCTCACCATGTGATGTCACCAGCCCCTGACAGGTAGCTAGTGCAGCCAGAACTTCAACCAGACAAATAGAATGGGGCCCTATTAGTCCAGGGGCTAAAGGGATCGTTTTCACAACTTGGTAGGCCCCTATCACCCACAGGGACCAAACAATTCTGGCATTTTTATCACTCTACAGGTCTCTAGTTTATATTTTGGTATGATAGCCCTGCCTATCTAGTAGCTTAATTACAGTTATCACTCTGTAAACAAACTTACACCCGTGTAGGCAAAATACTACAAAGAGGGTGAAAAATTAACTAATAGATATCCCCATGAAACGTGCCAAGTTGATCACTAATATTAAGACAAGTATTTTTTGTATTACACATTTTCTGAAATATTTTATTTAAATATGCACCAGTTTTGTTAATGAAGACAATCACAAGGAGAGGAAATTGATTACGCAGTTACTGTGCTAACACTCAGTGTTACTGTAGCCTACAGTAGGCCTACTAGCACTCAGAGCTGCCCAGTTGCTATTTGATCCATAACTAGGAAGCAAAGGGAGTGCTACCGCTTGCCTAAGGCGGACTCCCAGGCTAGCAGAAGGAAGGAGGTGCCTTATTTCTCCATTGTAGGCTGTCCTAAAATAGGGGGGCCCACCTGCTGCCCTCATCCTAACTAACACTCAGAGCTACTATAATGAAATTGAATGTCAGCGGAGAGCATGGAGAGACAGCAATGACAGCCTTCGAATCAGGTGAGAAGAGACAGGAGCTGTGGCTGGTGAGTCCTTAAAACAGAGGGAGAGATGGCATAAGGCACAGAGATAATGTCATCTAGAGCCGTTATACAGTATAGCATTTACTCTGTCACATCATTCATAGTCCACATCACTATCATTCAGCTCTGGAAAACATTCCAGCTCATTTGCCTGGTTGCTGCAGGTTTGTAGTTTACACATGTCTGTGCAATGCAGACCATTTTGCAGGCATGGCCATTCTTAAAGTTTATATGTTCGTGAGCAGGAGCATGATAGTAGGGCCAATACAGCCACTGGTGCAGGCATACCTTGCATCCACTCAATGGCCAGATCCCCATCATGGATCTTCCATCCATGATCCTTTGGATTTGGTACACTTGGATTGCACTCCAGACTCCTCCGCCAGATAGCAGCCTGATAGTTTGCTCATAAGGCATGCATGTAGAGGCAATCTTCACAAGGTGGAAGCTGAGTGGAGTCTATTTCTCCACGCCTTGCACAAAATAGCCGGTAGCGTAGCGTGTTAACTTCAGTTGTGCTTGTGGAAGGCAGGTACATCTGACATGTGACCCCCTGGAGCTTTCCAAATAGGTCATCTGGGACCTCCCAGGAGCTTCCCAACTCTCTGAATGTGTCTTGGCAGGTCTTGTTAGTCTTCAGTTTTTTAAACATGGCTGACTTTACACGGCCACTGAAAGCGCTAACTGTATCACAGCCTGTAAATGAGTGCATTCCAATCAGAGCATCACAGACACTATCTCCTAGTGTATGACTCAGCTTGTTGAGCTTTCTGGTACATGGGACAAGGGATTTTGTTACTGATCCCAATGCATATAACCATCACATCTGTGTCATCTGCTGTGACTATTATGCCCTTGCAGTCTGATTCAGCGACATGTAGAGCATGGAGTAGAAGGCGGGTGTCAGCTTCTTCCTGGGTACTTGATAGCTCCGGAACCTCCTCTCATCGCTGCCTTGTGAGCTTGAAACAGGCATCCTCACAGGTGACATACAGCACTTTCTCATTGATCTTATCAAGTTGACCCTTCCAATCTTCCAACAAGAACCTGATGAGGTGTGTTTTGTTTGTAGAGCTACACAAAAGCTTCCTCCACTGATGTATCTTGTGGCCAGGCGCAATGCTCCTAAGCTGAATACCTGGATCTGTGCCTCTCTTTGCTCTCTCCAAATCTTTGATGGACATCTTTCTGTAAACATCAAAGATAACATCAGTGCGCTGGCACTGATCAGCTTCATGTATGTCTTGAACCAATATTGATTCTGCCATTTGGGAGAACGTTGTATCATTCCCCTTCATCTTTTGAATTAAGCTCATTCCATCTATCAGAGTGTCTGAAGGCTGAGGGATGGTTTCTGCTGGGGAGACATGCTTCTCCAAGTCCCTGGCAAGAGCTGCCTTGTTGGTCTTACGAAGTGACCCATCACTGTTGGCTAGGGCCCAAGGCAAAGGTCCAAGGGGGTGGGCTAAAAGTTCACCCATGTGCAGCTGTCTGCTTTCTGCAACAAGAATCATCTCCCCAAACAGCTTCCTATCAGCGTTGAGGATAACTTCTTTTCTCTTGCAAAGGGTATGTGATTTTTAACTAAGGTCTGTGAATGTTTTCAACTTCTTTTTTGGAATTCTGTCATGAAACTTTGTGTCTGGGCTGTCTGTTTCCATCCTCTTTTGTTTGAAATCTTCATAAGCATCTTCACCTATTTTACGGGCTCCAGTGAGGTCATTAGCAACATCTGGAGGTGCAGCCATACCAGTGGACAAACTGACAAGCTCTTCATAGTCAGGACTGAAAGGGTTAATCCAGCTGGACTCCATCAGTTGGACAAGTGACTGGACATTGGCTTCATCCTTCCGTATTCTAGGTAATTGTACTATATCTGGATGAGTGAAGTCGGAGTCATTCTCACCACTCATGTCCCTAAGCTGCCTCAGGTATCTGCTCCTGTACTCAGATGTGAGGTAGTATTTTGTCACAGCGCCCTCCTTCAGACTGAAGCCCTTTGTTCCACTAGGAGTTTGTGTATCCCTATTGACAGTCTCTTCTATTGTTTGATCAACAGGTATATGCCCAAATGGGTTGTGGCTGCCAATTTGCTATGGAAACAGGTTTTGCCCATAAACGATGACGTACCGGCACACAGATCCTCAAATGTAGGCCTTGACATACGGAAATGTTTCAGCCAGAGTTCGTAAGTGAAATGCTGCTGGACAGCTACTTCCCAAAAGTCCTTCACATGCCTATATTCCCATACACATGGGGAACGTAGGCATTTCTGTTCTTAGCTGACTCTTAGCTGGTCTCTTTCCAGCTATTTCTGACAGTACTCTTAACATTAAACTTCTTCTTTGTCGTCTCTTCTTCAAGATGGTTAGGTACACTGTGAACGCTGACAAAATGCTAACCAGAGTTCTCCCAAGAGCCGACAGGTTTATTAGGAATGTGTCCATGGTCAGTTGTTGAGTGTCAGTTGAGTGTGTTGTTGTTTACAGTGGGCATAAGACGCTCTCTTATGACATCATCCCATGGCGCACTCTTCTTCTACGGGGGTGTTTTTATTTTGTTCATTTTTCACAAGAAGCGCCACCTACTGCTCTTCCTGATGACTCCCAATAATCGCAAAACAATAATGAATGGAAACAGGCATACATTCGCATTTTCTTTTGTGCATTTTCACAAAATGCGCTCAAAAATTTTGATACATTTGGATAGAAACCCCACTATAGATGCATAGTAGAATGGCAGAAACCGGGTATAGTTAACCTTGTCATAGGCAAAACACCTTGGTATCATTTGTCTTATGGCAGCGAGGTGAAGCATCCAATTGCCTTCTCTAGAGGCTCTAATTAGGGCCAGCATAATTTCCACTAGATCCAGGTAGCTCATCCAGAATGCAGAGAGACTTGTGGCATTTCTGAGGAACTCCTGATATGCCAGGAACAGTTCATGGATACGTGTGCAAGACTCTGTCTGCCGCACTTTTTGAAATGAACTTTTGAAGCTCTCAGTACACCTCTGGGCTTCTTCTAGGTAGTGGAGCTTTCCTGCCTGATTTTGATTTATCCATGTAAGGAAGCCTCTCCATACTAGACGTAGCAGGGATTCATACACTAGCTTGTGCAATCAAACAGCTCTGTTGTATTTCCGACCCTGCATGACCCCAACAACAGAGCCTTCTGTGAGAATGCCTGCCTCCACACAAAGGTCACTGAGTCCTGCATCCTGGAATCTCTTACATATTGTGTGGAAGGTCCCCATCCAGATAATTATGGCCTTGAACTTATCCTGCTTCCAAACTATTTCTGCAGCCTTGGCAAACAGAGCCTGATCGAAGACACACACTATCTCTTTTAGATGCAGAGACTGCATGATGGAAAGTGTTTTTTCCAAAACCTCATTCACCGTGGACATGTCAGTTGCAGGTCCATTGATGATGGGTAGGTATGTGACTATGTCCTGAACCACTGTGATGTCATTGCGGATCTGGATGTTAAATCCTGTCCAGCTACTGATGGTCTGATTATCAGCAGCTGTGATTTGAGTAAGGAGCCAGATAAGATTTTTATACTTTGCCTCCTGGATCACATGTGTGGTATCAGTGTCTGCAGTCTCAGTTTTTGATGGTCCAACTCTCTGTCCGACATTATAAGTTGGCAGTGGGGTAGGGGAGATTTGATGGCAAAAGGCAGGAGAACATGCTTTGGTGGTTTTGTCATGCCAGTTGAGACAACAAAT